TTGTTGTGGTTTATGTCACAAAGCCACGTTATGATTATGAGAGACATTGTAGTGGAGTCCTCCCGAATTTGGCCATCTGGGCCCACCGGCTGCGAAACGACTGCCCAACGGGGTGGTCAGACTTGCGACGCAGTGGATGGTGCTAAGAATCTCCGGATCTGGTCCGAACAGGCCGCCATTGTAATCTGAACTTGGCTACGTTCACCGCTAGAACACTACCTAGTGAGGCTAATCTAGCTGTGCTTTTCGAGGAATTAAAGTGTGTTCGATGAGATCCCATGGAGCTCAGCGAAGTTAGGACGTGTACATTCTTCAGGACTGTATACGCTTCACTTGTCCTATGCTACCATGGGTTAGTTGACGGAAAAGAACAAGGGGTGGCGTTTTTTATACACAATAATATCACTGGTAACATAGAGTAATACTATATAATCAGTGAGAGTGGCAAGTATGATAAGGTTAGCAAAAGGTACTAGATGAAAGTGGCACAAGCCTGCGTGTCTACATCGAGCCATGATGATGAGGGTAAGCCATTAATAAAGTAAAAGCAGAGTACATTACTTTGATTGGCGACTTTAATACCAAAGTAGGCAAGTAACAGTTCGGACTCTCATAATCATATGGTGGTTTTGGGACGTTAAACCCCACAAATAATAAGTAACAGTTCGGAGACCATGCAGTGGGGGAATATGGCATCAGCGCTAGAAAGGCCAAAAGCTATTATTAGAGTTCGCAGAACATAATAATTTACGGATCTTAAATACGTTCAAAAAACTGCCTAACCGTCAGTTCACATCGCGGAGTCCGAATGGCGAAACTCAAAATTAAATAGAGTGCATTCTGTGTGCACCCCCAAACACTTTGCAGAACGTAGAACCAGTTTGCAAGATCCAATGCAGTGATCACAGAAAGGTAAAAGCTCGTATTCGCCTATATTTAAGAAAAAGTAAACGCATAAACTGATACACAAGAAGCCAATTAATGAGCTAGCGGTGAGACGGAAAATATACAGGAATTGAGAGTTTTGCTTCAGAATAAACTGGAGGCACTAAACGAGGTATCCGACGTTAGCGTTGACAATTTGAACGATAATCTTACTAGTATCATAAAATGTGCAATAGAATTCAGAAATAGTCACTAAACAGGACACAAGCCAACTACGTCAGGAGACGAAAAATCTCATTAAGAGACGACAAACCATGAAAGCCTCAAATGCAACCGACAAAATAGAGATAGTGCAGCTTTCGAAGTTAATCAATAGGCGTGAGGTAGCCGACATCAGAAGGCACTACATAGAGAGAATTGGGCAGGCTGTTAAAAGAAGCAGAGGCCTAAAAGCTGCGAAAAAAAACTTGATGCATACACCTGATTTTTGGCTACGCACAAGTTTGCTTTCGCAGCATTCACGCTTTTGATCGGATGTATGCACCAAGGGACAAGAAAGGCAATGTCAGAACCAATATGAATAGGGTAGTTGAGGGGTGGAGGAGTTATATAGAGAGCTGTACAGCAGCCGGAACAACCAGGAGGTAAGAAGCAATAATAGCCCAGAAGAATTCTAAATCCTACCAGTAACGACAGAGGAAGTAAGGAAAACCCTAGAAGGAATACAAAGAGACAAAACTGCTGGTGATGATAAGGTGACGACGAAACTGCTAAAAGATGGTGGAGAAATTGTGTTAGAACAAATGGCCACCTTAAATAAAAAGTGTCTCTTGATGGGAAGGGTACTGGAATCTTGGAAGAACCCCGTCATAATAATCCTTAAAAAAGGACCCATAAGAAAACCAGAGTAGCATTCCGGAGGCTATGCAAAGAAGTAAATATTACTGGTTGCTATATTTTTGCCTGACAACCTTATGAAGTAGTTGAGCATTTCCTTAACTTTTTTATTTATAATTACCGTAGTAGGGGTAATAAGAATAGACTCATGAAATGATGACATGTGGGTTTAGTGGTGCAAAGACTGTGTTTGGCCAAAGAACACCATGAGAAATTATGGAAAGGTAACTAGTCAAGAGCGCTTTACATGATATGTTGCAGATCTAAATACTGAATATATTATCTGGCTTCTACGGGCTTAGAGCTTTGCGCGCTAGAGGTGCCCAAAACACGTGAGTGTTCAAATCACGAAGGGGGCATGAAATACTTGTAGGGAGAATGGAATAGGTTAGATGGTCAGTCAAGAGGTTTGCTTTATATTCATGGTACCCTGGCAGTAAACATGCTCATTATTTGATAGCTATAAATTATACCAAAGCAACTATGGTACCAAACATAACTGCAACAAAGGCAGCAATTTTCACTCCCTTGCTACAATTGAAAAAATTCCTGAAAGATTAAAAATGCATCATAGTATCAAAATTGGCAAAATATAGTTACTTAACTGCACAAATCTAGAGTCAACACCGAATAACAACACTGGAATGCATAGGAATGCCATATTTTGAGAGTGATAGAGAAAGTCTGAAGCAAGCCTATGACTCATGGGTTTATACGAAAATGCGTGTTTACAACAATGAATCAAGGTAGTCCCGTTTCTCTGCGATACGGAAAACGGCATGAAGAAATGATGCAGCGGTATATTCGCACACTTGGAAATTGATCTCCACAATCGAGTGCTTCCTTGCATCTCTCTAGCCTTGCCGCCGACCACGCGACCAGCTGAGGTACTGGCAAGCAAAGTTGCCAGTGCCTGCAGACCTTCTGCGGCACATCATCGTGCGTTCTACGCGACATTACAGTGCTATAGTGCAATTTAGAATATCACAATCGCACTTCACATGCAGTAAACCTAAAGCAATAAAACTATCGTGACTTTGGAGAAACGTGCTCGTAAATTTTTTCTTTGACCGTAGCTGCTCAGCGGTCAAGGAGTTAAACATTTATGTATCGTTGAGGACCAACGCCACGATACGATGTCACGATACGGTAGCTTTCTCACTAGATTAACGAGACACTAAAGAGCAACAATGACTTAGTTCCGATTGACAAACTGCACTCCGAAAACTAATGTAATGTTCCGCACTATCATATGTTCATAATAGTGGCACAAAGGAAGGTTGAAGTTTTATTTTTAAATTTCGAGCCGAAATCTTCGTGCGGGACGTCCGAAATTTCGTATCTCCTTAAACTTCGTATGCCGTATCAACGGCACCCATAGAAGACAATGTACTTTGTTTGCATTCATTAGAAGCTAGAAGCTACGCAGGGCCCAGGACACCTTCAAAAACATAACGTCATGGGTTTGGTGCTGGAATCTCACGGTGGCATCTTTATGCGCATCTTGTTTTCGCGCGTTTTTTTCGCTTACCGAGTGTGGTGTCGTGCGGTAAGACTGGTGCTTTCGGGACTGCGGAATCGTGCCAAACTAATACGCTAAAAATCGTTTCGCTCTTTAGTGTCTTTTTGAAGTAGGCAGGAAGGAGAAGGCCAATCTATTGTGTGCAAAGTAAGCCGAGAAAACTCCTGCTGCTCTGATTTTGTAGACATTTCAAGAAAACATAATACAAGCAAGCAGCCTGAGAACCATCCCTGCATCATAAAAATACTAGTGAGCAGAATAGACGCAATCACACGGAGAACTTCAAACTATGGCTACAATACCCGTGGAAGTAATTGCTGTAAGTGCTTGTCTGCTGGCCTGCTCAATTTACGATGTTTTACTGATGATAAGTGCGCGTAGATTCAAGGTTGTGACCAAGCTATCGAATTGCGATTGTGTAGACTGACGATGCAGCATGTGAAGATAATAGATCGCCGAGAGCGCTTCCAACGCACTGGCCCTGACAGAAGTGGGTGGCTTTTTGCTGTTGCAGATATTGGACATGGATGTGTTTTGAATGCACATGACAGAAGCTTCATATTGCTGCACCGTCACCTCATAGCTTGTCTTACATGACAAATGGAGCTCGAGATCGTTATATCGCCTGCTAGGAAAATTACTGCAACGTCGAGAAAGAGGTCCGTCGGCGACGGATGATCGGTACGCGCACACAATATAACGAGCACACACTTTGCCTAAACTCGGTGCCAGAGCTCTTCGAATATCAATTCGATTATTTCGCGATAGACAACGCTCTCAACAGATCGTGCCTAATACTGCCATAAAAGTGGAATTGCCTATATATAACATCTGGCGCCCTCGCGAAGTCATGCCCACCACTGCGTTGAACGCCCCTCCCTGCTTATTTCTTTACGCACTTTATGGGTTATATGGAGTATCCCATTAAAGGAAGAAGAAACTGATTTCATGTGCCACCACGCTTTTAGGCGATAGCCTGTAGCTTAAATGTGACGTTTTCCCGCGAACTGTGTTGACTCTCGTCGAAGTCTTTTGAACGACGCACGACATATACAACACAATGAACGGCTTTATATTGCAGCGCTTGTTCTGGCAGACACGCGCAGCGAAGAGCTGTACCGCTTTCATAATTATATCTTGCTGTATCTCAATTACGTGTGTTAGACACACACACACACACACACACACACACACTAGATAATAATAAAACAGTATACTTTAAAAGGAGCTATGTAACTCTACGCACTGCTTGGCATATGCACCTTCTACTCGTGAGCATCCCAGAACAAAAAATCAGCTGCCACTTTTTGTTAGCAATAACGAGGTGAACGAGCCCAAATTATTCTGGACTGAAGCGCCCTTTCCATTTTGTTTCACACAGCGGCCACCCCGTATCGCACATCGCACCGTATTCGGTTCGAGGCTATTTGGCGCTGATACCCTGCTTGCTTTCCCCAATACTCTTTGCGATAATAAACATTCAGTAAACGAAGCACATTAAAGGTTCGTCTAGCCAACGATGAGAACGCGTGCTCCGGCAATGACAGCATATATATATATATATATGTATACGTGCCAGCGGCTGGCAGCGTGAGTTGCGGCCCGGGTTCCGGTCAATAAAGAAGGTTCCTAGTCTGGCTCCGCGTCTTTCCTGCTGGGTTCTGGGCCGAGTAGCCTCGAAACACCTTATATTTGGTGCCCAACGTGGGGCTCAAACCCACAACCCCGGAGATACAGAGTCTCATACTCTACCGACTGAGCTAGTCGGGCACCCAACGTTGGGCGCCAAATGTAGCGGGTTTCGAGGCTCCTCAGCCGAGAACCCAGCATGGAAGACGCGAAGCCAGACCAGGAACCACAACATTATAGGGGGCTCAAAGACAAAAGCAAAAGAGTACACTATTACTCTTGAGCACCTGCTTTGTGAACCAGGAAAAATGTACCCGACATTTCCGAATCATGCGTACGGCATTGGCCTAGCTTTACGAAGTATAGAATCCATGTAAGCATGAACACCCCCATAAAGAGCGCTCCTTTTAATTACCCAGCTATGCCCCCCACCCTTAAGTGATTGTGTTCTCTAAATATTTGCGACCATGTTGGGCAAGTCTGGTTCTTCCTATTTACGCCAAGAAATGGCGGAACCATGCGTCTAAACACCCGCAGCTATCCCGTGCGACAGTGTAAAAAAAGAGATTGCCCTCATTCATGGCATAGAATTGCATTGATAGTGGCCTTTAAGAGAACTCATGAGCTGTGTCATGTGATTATGCGAAACGCACAGGCAGGCATAGCAGATACGACAAATATTCCCCTAATACACCTTCGGAAATAATGGACACCCCTGCGACCGTACAAATGCATGGCAATGATTCGCTCATTTACGTTGAAATCAATTGTGTACGATTCTAACCCCCGTATTCACAAACGCTCCTTCACTCAAGAACTCTCCTCGACTTAAAAAAGTCGATTGGAGCGCCGTCTCTTGGCAGACCAAGTCACTGCCTATCGGCAATATTCTGGAGCGATTCTCGAGAAGCACAGCATCAATTCCAGTCGAGCAGCGACGCAGTGTTCAACTCAGTCAAGTGAAGGATGGAATTCGAGACGAGGAGAGTTTCTGAATACGGGGGTAAGCCACCCGCATGTATACCCTGGTGAAGACATCTACCCTGGTTGTAAACGCGCCAACTAAATGACTCAACTTAGAAAACTGCAGCACCTTGCCTTGATACGCTGACCATCCTGCTGGTGGTGGCGTCGCCCACAACGAAAGCTCTTTAGTATCCCGTTCATGTCCATGGGCCCTTCCTCGCGGCCGCCGTCCACGTTGCCCACAGTTGCTGGTCGACCACGTGCTTGGTTTACGGTCACCGCCTTGCCACTTGACGCCCGCCACACGTTTTTGAGTCACCGCCGGACCCGACAGCGTTACAATTGTGTAGTTCCCTTGACATTCATTGATGTGACCATGAAACACACACTGTCCTTTGCAACACTCGTTAGTTCCTTGTCTCCAGCGGCTGAAAGCTTTCCCAGAATACCCTCGCTACGCCCGCCCACGACAAGCAGGCCTCTGAGTGTCTCACTTAAAAACTGCTCGAACGAGCTATTCGTGGCCAAACGCTTCAATCCGGCTAACCCCCATATTCACAAACGCTCCTCGACTCGACTTTCACCATTCACTTGACAGAGTTGAGCACTGCGCTGCTGCTCGGCTGAAAGTGACGCTGCGCTACTCAAGAATCGCGGCAGATTATCGCTGTTATGCAGCGACTTTCCCTGCCTAGCGATGGCGCTCCCATCGGCCTTCTCAAGTGAAGGTGAAGCGTTGAGCGGAGAGAGGTTCTAGAATACGGGGGCAAGAATCGCCACCTGCTTCTCGCCATCCCTGTACGCGTGCATGGAAACGATAACGCATAGCAACTGCTTCGGCGTGCAATCGGAAGCGCCTTTTGTATCTCTTGATACGAAGCTTGATGCCTCCGCCAGAACCATGTCCCGTCACCTTTTTACTGATAAGCATGCATGCTCGCCTTGTTTTTTTTGTTTTGTCCTGTTCTTCAGCGAAAAAACCACCAAATAGTTGGCCCTGGCGTATTCGGAGCGCGGCAGGTTTGCTGTAAAAGCGGCAAGGTCTGGCATTATCACGACGTTTCCTTATATTGGAGGTTTATGCTACACCTGATTGTAGTGCTACCGCCATCTCGAAGTCGACGTTGATGCACGGCCTGCGAGATGCATGTGGACAAGGCCGGACACGGAAGGCTTAGTTTGCCACATTAAAGCGAATTCCGTTGCTCTCATTTTTCTTGAGAAACGTGAAAGCCCTGCCACGTTGTTATGACGTTGCGAAAAAGGAAACGCAAATGGGGGCTCACTACTCACCATGTTCTGCGCAGAGGTATACCATATATGCTCCCTACGTTAATCAGAAGAGCCACTCTTGTGAAATGTAGGAGCCGAAACTGCTCAACGGTGCCGTGTGCTTTTAGCTCATTTTTTTCGCAGCTTTTCACTTCCTAATATTCGAAGGTCGTAGGTTCGATTCCTACTCACGGCTTGTTGTTTTGACCCGCCGCGGTGGTCTAGTGGCTAAGATACTCGGCTGCTGACCTGCAGGTCGCGGGTTCGATTCCCGGCTGCAGCGGCTGCATTTCCGATGGAGGCGGAAATGTTGTAGGCCCGTGTGCTCAGATTTGGGCGCACGTTAAAGAACCCCAGGTGGTCAAAATTGCCGGAGTCCTCCACTACGGCGTCTCTCATAATCATATGGTGGTTTTGGGACGTTAAACCCCACAAATCAATCAATCAATCAATCAATCAATCAATCACTTCCTAAGAAAAAATAAAAACATTGCATTCAAGCAAAACTCGTGCCTAACTTGCTTGATGGAAGCCACAACCGGAAGAAGTATTTCGTTTTAGTTGTTTTAAATAGTAAATAAAAATCCCGACTTACATGATTTCGAAATAATGAGGTTCAGCCATTCGCTAATTTCTCGTACTGGTTGGCGCAGCGCTTCGAGAGATAAAGTAGGCTGCCCGAGAAAATAATACCTGTTGATAATCCGAAGGGCGTCAAGCCGTCAAGATCGACTATAGGAGTCAGATTTTACGGGAGTAGTAAGTAAATGGCAATTCCAGCTTAGCACTCTATCGCCAAGTTTCGCTTCATCCGTTTCATCTCACGAGGTTGACAGCACATTGCCTCGGTAGCAATGATTTAGGTTTTACTATTCTGAAATTATTTTTTTAAAAGTTATTTAACCGAGTCCTCACCTTCAAATATTTTCTTACGTTGCCAACCGTGTAAGTGCTTACCGAAAATCGATGGTGTGCACATTCGTACCTGCACATAATGAGTATTGCCACGGTAGTTTAGTAGCTAAGGTACTCGGCTGCTGACCCATAGGTCTCGGGATCCAATCGCGGCTGCAATTTCAAAGAAGGCGAAAATGCTCTAGAGCTGTGTGCTGAGATTTGGGCGTACGTTAAAGAACCCCAGGTAGTCGTAATTTCTGTAGCCCTCCATTACAGCATCTCATATTCATACGGTGGTTTTGGGACGTTAAACCCCACATGCCAATCAAATCAATCAACCTGAAGGAACGAGTGTGATCAGCCAGGCATGCGTGACATTTCGATAAATATAGTAGCACAAGCCGGTGCGTCAGCTGTCTATTAACTTGCATAAAGAAGCAATAAATGCCATAGCAGTTATCTTTCACCAACACCCTACGCGCGTCAGCTCGATACCTTCGCCTATATTGCATGAGCATGCGCATATAAGTTTTCTGCGGTTTTTTTTTTCATTTCCAATTGTTCTGCGCTTTAGCGGTCATGATGATGATTGATACGGGGAGGTTTAACGTGCCAAAGCCACCGAATGATTATGAGAAACACCGCAGCAGATGGCTTCGGCGATTTCGACCACCTGGGTTTTTTAACGTGCACACAAATCTGAGCACACGGGCCTAAGCATTTCCGCCTTCATGTAAAATGCAGCCGCCACAGCTGGGCATCGATCCCACGACCTGCGGGTCAGCAGCCGTGTACCTTAAGCCACTAGAGCACCGCGGTGGGGTGCAACACCGATTGACAACTTTAACAGTGATTAACAACTTTGCAGTTGTTATAGCTGTTTAGGCTGCCGTGACGTCATGCCTGTGTAGTGGAGCATACGCACCAACGCGTATGCGCCTTCGGAAGACAACGAAAAGCCCGTGCTCTTTGATTGCGCGAAAACCTGTGCAGCCTTTGCCAGACTTGCTGTTCGCCCATTTTCCGTCGCGACCTCGTTGCGACTCCTCTGTTCTAATAAACATCATCGCATTTGGTGGAGGCTGCTGAGATCCCTAAGCAGACCTGGAGCTCTGCTCTCGCAAGTTGGCCGAAAGACTACCGTACAACATGACTGACGCAGTCGCAAACCAGCCCATCCCAGCACAGCCAGCACCATCGGCTGCCCCGTCGACCTGCCCCGGTGCTACCCGTCAGCGGGACCCACCAATCTTCAGCGGCAGTGGTGAGCAAGACGTCGAAGACTGGCTGTCCTTGTACGAACGCGTGAGTCCTTGCAACAAATGGGACAACGACTCTAAGCTTGCCTATGTCATCTTTTACTTGGCTGACGTCGCCAAGCTATGGTTCACCAACCGCGAAACCGCCATCGCCAGCTGGTCCACCTTCAAGACCCTCGTGACCGAAGCGTTCGGCCGACCAGAGGTCCGCAAGCTCCGCGCTGACCAGCGTCTGCGCCACCGAGCCCAGCAACCTGGTGAGACCTTTACTAGCTATATTGAGGATGTGCTCGACCTCTGCAGGCGTGTTAACTCATCCATGCCTGAAGAAGAGAAAATTCGACCTATTCTCAAAGGCATCGAGGATGGTGCATTCCAGATGTTGCTGGCGAAGAGCCCGACCACGGTGGCAGTCCTCGTAAGCCTGTGCCAGAGCTTCGATGAATTGCGTCGTCAGCGTTCCATCGCCCGACAGAGTGTCCCATCACCAGATTCGATCTCTGCCGTCGCACTCGCCAATGGCAACGTTCACCAAGGAACTCTGTCGAACCAGATTAAAGACTTCATCAGGGAGGAAGTCGCCCGACAGCTTTCCCTGCTGCCGCATAGTGACGCGCCCACGACAAGCCTCCCTTCGAATATGCAGCAGGCCATACGCACTGAAATTTGCAATGCACTCCCTACAGTTCCGGCCTCTTACCCGTGCACTTCGGTGCCATCTGATCTCTCAACTGCTGGCTACGCACC